ATCCTCATTTAATTAATAATTTCAATTCTTAATGTTTGCATTAACCAAGGGCATTTTCTGGTATTTTGAATGTTTCACCATTCTCTGCCTTTTGCTTTATATATATAGATAAAATATAATATTAAATATAAAATATAACAGTAAATAACTTAATAATGGTTTATACAATTGCATTACCTAGTTCTTTTGGAGTGATCAACTTTTTTTGTGAGTCAAATGGGTATGCAACATATAACCTAAGTTGTTATAGTATAAGTTTGCCTATTTCATTTACTTAATCCTTTGGAGATGGTCTTTTAATACATGCAACCGACCAAACCAAACAATTGATTGATTTAGTCGCGTTATCCAAATAAATTGAGGCCTAAAATGAACAAATTCAAACCATAACTCTGTATCTAATTGCCTTGTTTTCTGTTGGAAAAGACTTTTTAACCTTTTTTTATTCTCATTTTTAAATATATCAAGAAAGAAAAGGTTGAAATCTTTTCAGCCTTGAGATTTGTTACACCCTAACTTTCCGAGTCATATCAGCAATATCCCATTTCCAATTATTCCACATATACAGCACAGAGATATGGTTGTCGGCATCTTTTTCCACCAACTTCAGATCTGTTTGTTTGAAACTTATGATGGAATTTCATGTGCTTGCATTTTTGTGAACTCGAAAGTTAAAGCTAAATCACTACTTTAACCAAGAAAGCAGATAAAAATCCTTAAATCAAGGTTCCATCACAAAAGAACTAAAGTTGGGACTCTCTTAGATTACATCAATTTGATCACCTATGTTCTTTTTCCAAATACTGTAACATTGTAACATTCTTTCGTTTTGTTTGAAGAATGTTATACTGTCAAACTATTAATATGAGCTATATGTAACACGTTCAAATAAAAATTTCAGATAATCAATAATCCAAATTAACAGTTGGGCAATATGATCTGGATGTTTCCAAGACCAAAGATACTGCAAATGAAAATAATAGGATGCATTACCTTGTAGATAATTCAAATACGAAATATACAAATAATAAAGTGGGTGAAGTTTGCTCACTCACTCTACGAATCTTATTTATTATCTACCTATTATTTTTTTATTATAAATTATTGTGTATTTATATTTTCTATAAATTGTTGTATACCTATTCTCTATAATAATCTACCAATTTTTTTTCTATAAAAATTATTGTGTATCTATATTTTCTATAAATTATTGTGTACTTATTTTTTTGTAAATATTTTTGATGAACAGTATGTTGTAAAATTGGCTCACATTAAGGATACTTGTAAAACGAGGCGCGACCGGTCGCAGGTTGGGCGACCAGTTGGATTTACACAGAGTCGAAGAAGCTGGAGAAAAGGTATCCGCGACCGGTTGCAAGGTATCCGCAACCGGTCGCACGCAGTGCTATGCTGAATTTTTCCATGCGTTTTTCTAGTTCCTTTCACATGTGTTTGTTCCCTACCTAACTCTAAGTGCCTCCAAAACTTTTAATGGGTTCTAGGAAGTCTAGCAACGTGCTAGAGAAGCTATGAACACCATTTAATGTTGTTTGTTGACTTGTAGCAAAGGATTGTGTAGATAGGGTGGCTATAGGGTGCAAGCATTAATGCATTACTTTTGGCTTGCCTAACCTATGGTTTAGATGGGTGGCTGAAAGGGAGAACGTGCATGAGTAATTGCAGCCCTCTGTTAAGTCCAAAGACTTGTCTACAAAAGGAAAGAAGATGCAAGGCAACAAGTAGAGTGGTTAATCTCAAGGGGTGGTCAAGTAGCTGGGAGCTAGTGTGTCCAAGAGAGGTTTAACTCACCAAGGGAGGAAGAGAGAGAGGGCAATCAGTTCAAGATAGGAGCTGAGTTGGGTCTTGAGAGTCTAGACACCAAAGAGGGAAACACCAAGTGTGAGAGAGTGTTCACAAGTGCATCAAAGTGTTGAGCAAGGGGTGAGAGAGAAAAGAGAGCTTGGGAGAGAATAGAGTTCTAAGGGGGTTTCTGTGTAAACCAAAGTTGTAACCTATTCTTTCATTAGTGAATTTCTCAAGGGGATCACCAAGAGGATGTAGGCAATTGCTGAACCTCTAAAATACTTGTGTCATTTTGTGCTTGGTTGGTTTCTCAAGAGTGTGTGTGTGATTCATCCATCATTGTGTGTGTCACAAAGTCTATCAACAACAAGATCATTAGGGGAGTCACTACTACAAAAAGTGAAAAAGACGACCAGAAAAAGACGACGGTAGAAGAAAAAACTGTCGTGGA